CTCGGTCCTCAACAGGAGAAACCCCATACTCCCTGGCTTACGGAATGAAAGCAATCATACCTCTCGAGGTAGGGCTCCCGACCATAAGGACCCAAGCTTTCGACGCAGGGGAAAATGACCGTCAACTTGGACTGGATTTGGATCTAGTGGAAGAAAGAAGGGAGACAGCCGCCTTGAGAATAACAAAGTATCAGGAAAAGATTTTCCAACTGTACAACAAAAGGGTCAAGGCGCGAGAATTCCGAATCGGCGATCTGGTCCTCAGAAGGGTAACGGCCAATACCCGTGACCCAACAGAAGGGAAAATGGGACCTAACTGGGAAGGGCCTTACAAAGTGATATCTATCGGAGGCGCCGGGTCGTATAAATTAGAAGATTTGGATGGAAAACTTGTAATGCGACCGTGGAATGTGATGAATCTAAAGAAATATTATTATTTTTGAGTATTATCTCCCTCAGTGCCTGCCCCCGAAGCAAACACAGGAGCAAGCCTCCTGGAAGGGTAAGGCCCTGGGGGCAGAGTTCAAGGACTCCTGCCCCCGAAGCAAACACAGGAGCAAGCCTCCTGGAAGGGCAAGGCCCTGGGGACAGAGTTCAAGGACTTCTGCCCCCGAAGCAAACACAGGAACATGCCTCCTAGAAGGGCAAGGCCCTGGGTACAGAGTTCGAGGACTCTTGTCCCCGAAACAACCACAAGAACAAGCCTCTTGAAAGAACAAGGCCCTGAAGACAGTTCAAGGAATCCTACGCAAAAAAGTGTACGCAAGAAAGTATTAAGTACTCAAAAGCTTTATTTCAAAAAGAGGGGTTTTGCGTCCCCAAGAGCTACAAAAAAAAAAAAAAAAAGAAAAATACAATCGAAAAGAAAAAAGTTTTTCATCTTGCCCCCGGCATCTCCAAAACATCCGCCAAGGGCGAATCGGCGTAGAAAGGTTGAGCAGCTTCGGGAGTAGGCAGAGCGGGAGGTACTTCGGCAATAGAGAGACTCTGAGGAATATTATGATCGGGGGCCTGGTTCGACGGGGCCTCATCGGACAAATCCACTATCACCGCCTCAGGCAGATCCGCCGAAACTTGCACCGGCGTTGGAATCACGTCCTCGGCAGCAATCTCGGCTTCGACCTGTTCCATCTCCGCCGAGGGCACGTATTTGTGCATCTGAAAGAGCGGAGAGTCTGACGGGATCCTAGCAGACTAGAGCGCCTCGTCCCACCCCTTCTTGAAGAACTCCTTGCTGTTTTCCTCAAGAGCGGAGAGCACGTCATCGGCGAACTCTTCTCGGAGTTGCTCCTCGGACTTCCTGTTCTATGCCTCATCCCTGATCCTGTCCAGCTCCTAGGTCAGAGCCAGACAACTTTCCTCGGAACCAACAGCCCTCTCCTCTGCCGCAGAGAGTTGCTGCGTCTGTTCTGTTATCCTCCTCTCAGCGTCGACAAGGGCAGCACTTAGCTTTTCAGCGCCGACCTTCGCCAACTCGGCATCCTTGAGGAGTTGCTCGATTTGAGCAGCCTGCCCCGCGAGGGTGGAATCCCTGGCAGCCACATCCTCTTTAGCACTGGCAAGGGCTTCCTCGGCTTCTTCCTTCTGCTCTCGAATCCGCTGAAGGTCCATCCTAGCCCCATGATACCGCGCCGCTATTACGGAGATCTGTTGGGTGGCCTGCAAATGAAAGGACATGTTACTAAAAGGAAAGGCGGCTAAAAGAGATTGAAGCAAAGATGAACTTACCACCAGGGAATTCTGGATGATAGAGCGAAACAACACATTTGTTGATCGCCCCCTGTGAGCCACCATGTCGGCCTCGAAATACAACGTCTCACTCACTGCATAGGTGACATGAGGGTCCTGCAAAATGGAGTCATCGACCCTGATCACTCGGTTCATGTGATCAGTGGCTCGAGGATTCCACTTCGCGGCTTCCATTGTCTGCGGAAGGGGAGGAGGAGTCTGATGTTGCTGTTGCTGTTGCTGCTGTTGCTGCTGTCGCTGTTGTTGCTGAGGAGCAGGAGGTAACCCACAGCCTCTCCCACTTTGTTGCTGAGCGGAAGGGGCGTTGGATCCCCTGCCAAGGCCGTCGTGCCTATGTTTGATCCTCCTCTCCTCCTCTACCTGAGGATCCCGGTCACGCACTTGACCCCGGCTGACGATTCTTGAGGACGGGGTGGCGCTGGTCCCCGCAGATGGGGCCCCACTGGTAGATCCTCGTTCCCTCCCAACAGCGAGGGCTTGCCTCTGCCTTAGGAACCCTAGATCAATGCGGGGCATGCTGGACATGGCTACCTCGAGGGCGTCTTCGGCGTCGAGAGATTGTAGGATTTGGAAGTCCGGCCACGAGTCTCTTCCCGAAGTCCCCACCTCGGCGTACGAAGGAACCAAGTCCTCTCTGACCCCGAGCTCTTCAACTTCACCCTCTACTTCTGCCTCCGAGGCCCGGTCAGGGTCTTCTTCCAAGTTCTCCTCAACCTCTTGCCTCACCGCCTGATCGAAGAGTTCAGACCACCGCGAAGGATCGAAAGGCTGGGAAAGCTGTGAAAACTTCTTATATCCGGGAGTATAATTCAGGAGGATGTGGGCAGCCCGCCGAGCCCGTCGTCACCAGTGAATCTCCAAACAGTGACTAGGTCCGCAAAGTTCACCAACGACCGAGGTGGAGGAGCTGTTTCCCGAGGGAGATGTCTGCACAAGCAAAAAGAGGGAGTGGGTCATGAGCACGTAGAAAATCTCAGAAACAAAATAATAGACCCGAAGGAACTGACGTACTTGTCATTCTCCATTCCAAAGGGCATAACAAGCCGTCATACTCGGGACCGACACCTCTCTGCCAAGATCCCTTAAGAGATGAGTATGTCATCTTTGTACCCCTTGTCCGAGTCAGGAAGGTGAGTTACGAGGTACATAGATGGGTCCCTGGCTTTGAGGTAGAAGTGTTGTTGAGGCGTAACTCTCAAGAGGGAATAACAAAAAAGGATATCGTTCAGCTCGACGTTTACCCCAAGACGCTATTGAGCTCTAGGACCCCCATAATTATCCTAAAGACATTAAGGTAACACTGCCCGGGAAAGAGGCGGAAATGAGAGAGGAACTGGAGAAGCAGAGGGGGCAAAGGGAACCTAATCCCACCTTCTATGATGGCTTTGATAAAAAAAGGCATTGCGTCCTCGGTACCGAGGGTACGAGGATGCACAGTCTGGTCATAATCCTCTATGTCTACATTCGGAGGAACGTTGTACTTAACCCTAAATCTATTAATTTGTTCACCACCTTTTACTTTATACTTCTCTGGCCTCGAAGTACTGGTCTGAGGGTTCTCGGGGGCAGGGTGACGACGTGGGATCTTCAAAAAGTGATAAAAAAATAGAGGGGGTCTTTTCCACGAAGATCCCCAAGAAGGCTTCCCGGGGATTGGTCGCTGAAGGACAACCAGAAAACACCTTCGGTGATCGAAAAACCAAAAGAGACAGAAGGGCAAAGAAAGGGAAGATATTGGGACTCACCAGAGTGTAAAAAGAGGGTTTTTCTGGAAAACTTGAATCGACTCCTTCCAAGAATGTTCAGAAGCAAGGATGGGTCTGCGGACTTTATAGCTTCAGTGAAAAGGTTGGGCAGTTGACAAACGGAAGGAAAGAGGTCTCTGGCGAAGATTCAGGCAAGTGCTCTCTGTGAAGAAAAGTTCAGAACGATGAAATGAGAAAAGAAGAGAGAAAACCCCTTTATATATAGCACCTATCCCATCATTGGGCTCGAAGCACGAAACAACGCATTTAATGCGCACGACATCCTAAGTAGGGAAAACGACTAGGGGCAATGATGAAGCAATTGGGGTTGTTGCAAAACCTTTCGTCTCCTTACAACGTGTGTCCTCGGTGTTAGAAGATGGAAGGTTGGGGGGCAGTTGATGGGACATTTTCGGAATACTCCAAGATGAAGACACGTGTCATCGGTGTCACTGATCCTTGTTATCGAGATCACGTACCCATCGGGTCACAAGTCCCCTCTACCCCGAGGTACTTATCATGGGATCGAGTGGCATCCAGTACGTTTTTATGTACCGACACGTACTCTCGGTCTGATATGGTACATCGATCGCTAGGCCTCCCCCTCTCGGATCCAAGATGTACCTATTCCTCGGTTCCGAGATGTACCTCTTCCTCGGCTACCGAGATGTACCTCTTCCTCGGCTACCGAGATGTACCTCTTCCTCGGTACCGAGATATACCCTTCTCATCCATGATGAAGTTCTCTGCTCCAGCAGAAGTTATTGATGCACTGGTCACTAGCCTAGGCTAGATTAGCTATCATGACTTCGTCTTACACAATTGGTGTCAAAAGGCACAGGAAGGCAAAGGCCACAACCAATGAGGAATGGACGCGTGGCATATTGTGTCACATCAGAGACAGAAAGACCTTGCTGACACGCGACTTGGGAAAACAAGCATTTAATTACATCATTCCCTTGATGAGACTGCATTCAATGCGGTAAGGTTCAGAAGTGAAAGACAATAAATGTCTCTAAGGCTGGACATTTATTACATCCTCCTCGAGAGGAGCTCATTAAACCGTCGGCAGGCCGATGACACAGTCTTGATCGCTCGGGGTCCCAAGCAGTTAAGAGAGAAGACATTTCTCATAGGAATCAGTGCGCACGTTGCCTCTATCTAATGATCACCTACTGACCACACTAACAGCAATCATGAGTATTTGAGGTATAAATACTCCTTACTAAAGGCAAGGAAAAGGAGGTGAAAACTTTTGCTACAAATTATACTCAGTGTTTTCTTCTTCCTTTTTCTCAAAAACTGGTTTGATCGTCGGAGGGGATATGCCGGAAAATACTCCGGCGCCCTTCTAACTTGTTCTTCTTTATTCCAGGAACTTTTCTTCAGCCTTACTGGATCGTTTCTTTGATCCGCAAGGGTCTCCCATTACCGTTCCAGGTTATCACCGGATCTCACAGGCTGTTTCAAGCAGCGTGGTTGACCACTCAACTGACTCACTCGAGTTCACCAAGGTAGAGATCTGTTCTCGTTTTTATATTGTGCAAGCTCTAGCACGCACACAGTCCATTTTGCAATCACAGAAGTTGAAATATTAACAAGCTTGAAGAAATTGAAAACTGTATGTTCTGAGAGCACTGACCTGTTTCCAGACTGGGAAACACTTCTTAATCTCTGAAGAAGCCTTTCCCTCGCAAGTATCACAGCTCCAGGAAGCCTGTCATTCCCACTATACCTCTGTCTCGCATGTATGCCACCAATATTTTCTGAGGTGAAAGTGTTGCCTGAAGCAGATTGGCTGCTAACTTGATCGAGATGAACTGGGTGATGCTCCTGGATATGCTAAAATACAACACGAGGATGAGTATAAAATCGTCTCATTCTCTGTAATGAGTCATAATAAGTGCTTCGAAAAGAGCAACATTTGCATAGAAACAGTAGCAACTCGCAGGGATTTCATACTGAATAAATTTTCCATCACTTCAACCACACGTGAACCCAATTAGATGCAAAACAAGTAGGAAACACTTCGAGATAAAATCAAAATGATGAAAAACCAGTGTGCTACTAGCTGGGCCTCTCACGAGCAGAAGAGAATGTGAACGATTATTACAACCTCCTTTTTTGACTGTCAAGGGCATATTGAAGTAACAGAGGCCAATAATTCCATCATCTAGCGCAAGAACACCCAATTGGCCATAGGGCTCAAAGTAGCATCTTCACATCTTTTATATGATGCAGTAAGACATGCAAATGTAAGCTCCTTTCACACCATTCTCAGTCTAATCTTTCTTTAGCTTGTTTGAGAGATTGGAAAAATCAATTTGGATTGTGGCTGGTCGGTGCCATGTTAGGAGGGGACTCTAATCATCTAAATATCCGCTACACAGGTCCAAAGCCGCTATGTTACCAACCACCCTCCCATTGCCATATTGCTCATGCTTCATAAAGTATTTCTTTTTTTATTGGGATAATCAGGTACATTGGTGCCTTGAATTACCAAAATCTAATGTGGGATTACCCGTTATAATTAGATTTCTGTTGGTTAAGGTATGAACATTGAACATATGGTTAAACAAATAATACCACTTTCAATTATTTCACAAATATCAATCAACACAGCATAACTAAACACGTCTATGAATGAACTAAAACATTTGGAACTTACAAAAGGAGGGGTGCGATGAGAGTGATGTCTGAGATTAGGAGACAGCCGGAGATGATCAGAGCCGTCCACGTTGTGTCGATCACGACGAGAATCGATGCGACGATTGTTGGGGTTGTGGTGAGAAATTCGACCGATAGAGGAAACAAAACCTCCGCCTAGGTCGATTGGGTTGGTGATTCGACCCAAACGAGACCTCCTGTTGTAGAATAGCTCCGATGCGCTCGTCATGCAACGGCAACTTTCACAATTTTCTCTTTCTTTCCTGCAATTCAATACAGTATATCGATCAGGGTCGCTATATATGCGTAGATATGCCAATCGAATTTAGAGAGAGAAAACGGAAAGAACAGCGAAGGATAGGTTTACCTTCTAAGAAGTAGTAGCTGAAAAGCCTGAAACGACTGATTGTGAGAGAAAGGGAGGATGTACTTTCACAGGAAAGTGCAGTGGATATTTCCAAAGTAGAGAAATGCTTGGATCGTGACACGACAGTTGCGAGTTTTTTTTTTTTTTGACAAATTATTAATAAATATTACTTTTTCTATTTTTATTTTTATTTTATAGGTTAAAATTCACTTACACCCTCGAGATTTAATTCATATTTCACTAATATATATTCTAAATTTTTAAATATCACTAACCTAAACATAATATGTAATTTTACAAAATTATCCTCACTAGAACTCCTATTTTATTTAATTATTCTTACTCAAATTAATACAAAATTAATCTATAATTTTATCAAATTAACCTTTAATTTTATCAAACTAATATTAAATTTTATCAAATTAACACTAAATAATATTCAATTTCATCGAATTAGAACCAAATTAATATTACATGTTATCAACTAAACATTAAATTTTACCAAGTTAACATTCACATTCATCAAATTAGCATTCAATTCATCCAATTAACATTCAATTTTATTAAACTAATACCAAATTAATATTCGATTACATAAAATTAACATTCTATTTAATCAACACCACATTAAACTTCATCAAATTAATATTCAATTTGATCTAATTAATATCAAATTAACTATCAAATTTATTAAATTAACATTAAATTTTATCAAATTAATACAACATTTTTATTAAATTAACGTGAAATTGATCTTAAATTTTATAAAATTATTATTTTATTTCAGGAAGCTAATATCCAATCTTATCAAATCGAAATTCAATTTTATAAAATTAGCACCAAATTAATATTCATCAAATTTATCCCAAATCAATTTCATCAAATTAATCCCAAATTAACATTTAATTTCATTAATTTAACATCAAATTTATCAAACTAACATCATTTTTTTAATTGAGTTTTATATTAACATTCAATTTCATCAAATCAAAATCAAATGGTCATTTAATTTTATAAAATTAACATTTTATATTTAAAATTTAGTTTTATCAAATTAATATTATTTTTAAAAATTAACATTTTATTTTATACATTTTCTTTACACGATATAGTTTATTTAATCCTATTAGCATTTAATTTAATTTAATTTAATTAATATTAAAAGGATGTTTAATACTACTTTAAACTTGTTTTATATGGTTGGGATAAATTTGGCAATTCATAAGAGCATAAATCATCACATCACATTTTTTGCTTGTCAATAACGACATTAGAAAGCAGTGTAGTTTGTGAATTGTGTATATAAATTATAGGAGTGTACAATTAGAGGAGGTGTCAGTATAATATGGCTTAAATTCAAGGGTTGTCAATGAAATTTATCATATTTTATATAATGAAGTCCTAAATTTCATAAATATTATAATTTGTTTTGATTCTAAACTTTTCTTTTAAAGTAAAATTCTCTTTTAGGGTATTTCCAAGGTGAAACTTAGGCAACGAAAAAAGGTCTTATTGGATATTTTTAGAAAAAAATAACTTATAATTTCTCTCTTTTTTTACATATTGCATTTAGTGTATTCGAATTGCTTTTATTGGATTACAACTAATTCACTTTTCGATTCAAGTTATGGACTTGACATCCTCGGTCTTATCACTCCACACCGAAACAAAATAATTCATGTCTGGCCATAAAAAAATTTTAAACTTCTAACTTATGATATATAAATTTATAATTCATTTTTGTTATGAATTTATAATTCTTTTATATAGTCACTAATCTTAAAGGGTTGCCAAATTAAAATTCCCAAGTTGGGCTTGGATTTGAACCAAGTGGAAATACTAGTCCGAAGCTATCTTAGGCTTTTATCCTGATTTCGGATAGGCACGTTTCTAATCCGGCAGGTGGGCCTTTTACACAAGCTTTTTAGCTCTATTTAATTCTAGGGCTAGCTTGTTTTAAGGAATAAAGTTGGATAAGGAGGTGATATTAGAGAAATAATACGTAGAATCTATCTTATATTTTATTTATTTAGCATCTTATAGTCAGTACTATTTTTTGGATCGTAATACTGACCTGTTATGAATAGTAGTCATAATGTCTTGTAAATAGTCTTAATGAATACCACCTGCCCGATGATATTATATGTCCAATACAAATAAGATTGAGGTATAATAGAGTAAAAAGACTCAACTACTCTCATGTACAATTGTCTTTTTAAGGTTATAAGGTTACAATTGTCTTTTTACAGGTCATAGTCACAATTATTGATTTTTGTAAATAGGTATTACACAAATTATATTTGTGACAAACAAACCAAGGGAAGAATGAGATTATAGTTTAAGACTTGGTATAATATATCATTAGATCAGAGTGGAATAGATATAAAATCTTATATCATCTAAATCTTATACTCGAAACAAACAGTTCCTAAGTATTTTGGAGGTTAACAGTTAATTTAATAACAACATTTTTATTGTTGATTCTTAAAGTCATGATTTTGAATTTTGTCATCTCCAATTTTTTGTAATTTTTAAATATTTTGTAAATAAAAAATAATACAATTCACCAAAAAAAAAATATGTCCAAAAGTTTTAAATTGCATTAAAATGATTAATTCTTGAATTTTCACTCATTTATACCCTTACAATAATAATATTCAGATTAAATTGATCAAATTTGTTAATTAAACCTACTAATATTTCTGGATTAATAGTAGATTCCATCGTTGCCTTCCATCTCCGCGAGAGATGTGAGTCTGGACCCCACCACTGTCCAGTTTTTCCAGTTCCAGCAGCGTTGGAAGTCCAAGTAAGTCACTAAGTGGGGCCCACCACCAAACACGCTAAACTAAAGGCTCACCACCAAACGCGTGACTTCTTCCCTCTGTTCCTCTGTACACTTAACCGATTCCAATGTTGATCTGATTGGCCGAATAGTTGCCCTCCGAGGTTTTCCCAAACTCATGGCCTTGAAAATATAATAATCTCATATCTCAATAACTTTTAAACTTAATTTTCAAATTCAGTTTTTTTTAAATATTATTTAAAATAACATTTTTTCACCTAAAAACGTCATTTAGAATGATGATGTATAGTTGAATTTTTTTTTTCAAAAACGTCATTAAGAATTATGATTTTAAAAAGGTCATTCGTAATAACGTTTTATAACAAGAATTTTAACGGAGTCCCTAACATACGTTTAAAAATAAAAGGCATAAAACGTTATTTTAAACGATGTGTTTAAAAACGTCATTTGCATTTTAACGTTACGCCATTTAAATTTCACATAACAGGCTAAATAATTTCAGACCACTTATTCGTAAGACCACTTAGCTCTCCTCCTCCTCAACCAGTCTCAGCCAGACAAGACTCCGACGAGCTCCACCTAGCGACTTCCATCATACTCCACCAGCGACTTAAACAAAGAGACTGATCACAACCTCCACCATCGACTGAGCAGTTTCTCCATATTTGTCCTAAATATTTTTTGCCCAAAATCAAATTTTGCCCTAGATCGATTTAACTGGTGCTAATCCGGCGCTTAACCCTCAAATCAAACCCTAGCGCAACTCAAAATCAGATCAGTCATTAAAACCTGTTCTTTGTTCCAGATTCTGCTAAGAAGAAAAGTAAGAGAGGAACCCAAGTACCCCACTGGTCAGTATATCTATTCCATATGTATGTATGTGTTTGGGTGTGATTTTATATGTTATGTGTTTTTGAATTTGATGGAAGTGGTTTAGTTGAATTCTTCAAGCCAGACTCGATGAAAAGAACGCATGATTGAAATTCTAACCCATAAATCATTTGATGTGTAATCTTTCAAAGATCTGATGCAACTCAACTGATAGAGACCCTTTAACAACAATATAATTCAGAATTCCCAACTCTCTTGAAACCCAAACACAATTTTTCTAAAACTTTCACTTTCAAAATCAAGAAAATCAAGTTTTAGCTTCACTAGGTGAACAAAGTCATCACAAACCTCAGCAAAATCATCTACTTTGAAGAGAGAGAGAGAGAGAGAGAGAGAGAGAGAGAGAGAGGCAGGCATACCTCATCAAGCATGTAAGGATTGGAAAGCTTTGACCCATTTGTGCAGGTGGTTATACCACTAAGTTTGCAAAGGAGAGTAGAGGGTTTGCTTCAGGAACATCTTGACAAAATGCAGCTGAGTTCTGAAAACCCCCATGGAAATTCAGATGAAACAATGTCAAACAATCAGATTGAAGATCTGGATACCGATGAAAACCCAGATTCTTTTTGTGTGTGCTGGATCTTGCGCAATATAAACACGAGAACAGATCTCTCCCTTGGTGAACTCGAGTGAGTCAGTCAAATGGTTAACCCTGCTGCTTGGAACAGCATGCGAGGTCTGGTGGTAACCTGAAACGGTAATGGGAGACCTTCGTGGATCAATAGAACGATCCAGTAAGGCTGAGGAAGGTTCCTGGAACAAAGAAAGACAAGTTAGAAGGGCGCCGGAGTATTTTTCGGTGTATCCCCTCCGACGATCAAGTCAGTTTTTGAGAGAGAGGAAGAAGAAAATACTTGAGTATAATTTGTAGCAAAGGTTTTTCATTGCCCCCCACCTTGCCTTTTGCGATGAGTATTTATACCTCAAAAACTCATGATTGCTGTCAGTGTGGCCAGTAGGTGATCATTAGGCACAGACAATGTGTGCACGATTTCCTATGAGAAATGTCTTCTCTTTTTAACTGCTCGGGCTCCCGAGCAACCAAGGCTGTGTCATCGGCCTGCCGACTGTTCAATGAGCTCCTCTCAAGGAGGATGTAATAAATGTCCAGCTTTAGAGACATTTATTGTCTTTCACTTCCGAGTCTTACCGCATTTAATGCAGTCTCATCAAAGGAATGGTGTAATTAAATGCTTGCTTTCTCAAGTCGTGTGTCAGCAAGGGCATGCGGTCTTTCTCTCTCTGATGTGACACAATATGCCACGCGTCCATTCCCCATTGGCTGTGTCCCCTGTCTTCCTGTGCCTTCTGACACCAATTGTGTAAGACGAGGTCATGATAGCTAACCTAGTCTAGCCTAGGCTAGTGACCTGTACATCAGTAGCTCTGCAGGAGAAGAGAATGTCATCCCGGACGTTGGTACATATCGGTACCGAGGGAGATTGGTACATCTCGGAGCCGAGAGGGGGGGTGCATATAGCGACCGATGTACCATATCAGACCGAGGGATACGTGTCGGTACGTAAATATACTGGATGCCACTTGATCCTTATGACAAGTACCTCGGGGGAGAGGGACTTGTGAACCGATGGGTACGTGAGCTCCGTAACAAGAATTAGTGACACCGAGGACACGTGTCTTCATCTTGAAATATTTCAGAAATGTCCCATCACTTTCCTAGATGGGTCTGTCATGGAGAAGATCCTCCAGAGGCGAAGCTTGCGCATGCGAAATATGCAGAGAGCTTGGTTGGTATGCTCCATTTGCTTTCTGTTGTTATACTAGATGCATATGTATTGGTTAGTATGTATTGGTCAATTTTTAATTGTTCTATTGATAATTGTCACTCAAGGTAAGGAAATATTCGTCGGTGCTCCTCGGCGTTGGATGTACAGAGAAAACAGATTGGCCACGCTCTAGTTGTTGCATATAATTCAGCTTAATGCCCCAATACTTCAGCTTATTTAGAAGTATTCATTTGCTTATCTTTTGGCAATTAGGGAAAGAAAGATGTCGAAGACTAGCGGGTGAGGGGATATTAAATTCTTATTCTGTCTTTATAAGGATATGCAGTATTTTACGGTATCAAGTTAGGAATGTAAAACCTAAAGCCCTTGATGATTCTGGTGGAAAAGATTTTCTTGATTGGTTGCAGATTAAATTCTCTTGTAATGTTATCTTGAAGACTATATGGGTGAAATGGTCATATCACAGTCTTTATCCGAATGCAATAGTACTTCAATATCCATGCCTTGTTTTCCTACAACTTTGAGATCACATAGTCTCCCTTCTGGTTTGAATGAAGTTTCAACCGGACCTGTTGCTTCTTGTGACCAGAATGACTTGATGTGGGTACAGCCTGGAGATATAAATGGTTTGAAGGGGCAGCTGGTAAAGTTGCTTGAACTGTCAGGAGGATGTCTGTCTCTTACTCGTGTACATGCTGAGTACCAGAAAATTTTTGGGAGGCCTCTTTACATTTCAGAATACGGGGGAAGTCAAACTTGTGAATCTTCTCAAGAAAGTGACGCCCTGGTTTTGGTAAATTCTGTTTTGGGGGTTTCTGATTGCCCCTGGTCTTGCCTGGAATATTTAAGACAGATTAAAGAGTTATTAGGGGATTTGAACTATCAACTGAAGCACATTTTTCATGGGGCCAACAATGTTGCTGATAGGCTTGCAAATCAAGCTGTGCTGGAGAGGAGATCTACTGCTTCTTCGATTCATTTGCAGCTTCCTAGCGAGGTTAGGTCTGCTCTGCGTAATGATCAAATGGGATTACCGATTTTGCGTAAAAAGAAAAGGCTTATGTTTGATGATAAGGGCTGATTGCCATGTTTATACTGAAATCTGCACTTGATAAAGTGCTGATTTGTTTGAAACAATTTGAAAGGGAAGAAAAGGGTTTATGAGGAAGGTGACTGCCATGAATATACTGGTCTGGGAGCTTACTGTTTTGGACTGTATTTTGTTTGCTTTGATAGGCGGGTGTGCCTTATTTTTGAGTTGTTTTCTGTTAAGGCATATATGCCTTTCCTTTGCTTCTTGTAATTGCTGCTTTATTAATAAATAAAATGGTATTTTCTGAAGAAAAAAAAATTATGCTTTTATGAATTTTATTTTCGATTATAAAATAAGTTCAAAATTATCATGAAAACAGAATTAAATTCTAAAATGCTAGTCTCAGCATATCGATTGATCCTACCTTCTGAGAAAGCAATATTCATTTCCAGTAGTTATGTTTCTATGTACCAAAATGATGTTAAACACTTTCTCAAGTTGTTCAACGAAAAAAAGGGTAGCCCAGTGTAAAATCTTATTTCAACTGCAACATATTCAAAAATGGGCAAGTCTGTTGGACAAGGATCTGGGATCAATAAAAACTTCAAGCTGCTTGAATTGTACATTTTGACATATTTGCACACATGAATGTGTGAATACAGTTTACATTCCAAAAGAAAAAAATTCAGCAATTGAGTTGTATTTAAAATATACACAACTTTAGATACAAGAAATTAAGAAAAAAATCATGTTCCGAGTTGTTTTTCTTTTTGATGGAGCAACAAAACTGCCACAATTTAGTAACACACAAGACAATCTTCCTTCCACACCTGCCACAAACAAATATAACAAAATAAATTTACTGATTTAAGTTTAAGCAACATAGAATTAACACATACAAAGACTACACTTGCACACAACACCTGTAAAGGCCAAAAGCAACACACATGCGACACCACCCACCAAGGCAACACCCAAATAGATTGCCCACAGGATTTGAATACGCATGCCTTGTTAGCCACAATACACATTGTCAATACGCATGCCTTGTTAACTGTATCATATAGGATACAATGATATTTACACAAGATACTAGTTTGGGTGGATTTCCAAGAAAAATCTAATGTAATATTTTTATTAAAGGTTACTCTAATTTTCTATGGAGCTCCTTGCCGAAGTGAGTGGTTGGCCATTTATAATCAGGTGAAAAATAAAAGTTATGGTGCATGAAAAATTCATTGGTTGTGGGAGCAATGACACACTCTTGTTACCTTAGATAAGCACCATATATACCAAGGTCTGATATGGCATGATCTTTATGACAGATGCCATTCCTCGTCAGAATAGCAGGAAATATGTTTGGAAAAATTCTTTGCATCAGGATGTAAGCAGCATTTGCATCAGTCCCTTCTTCTGCAATCTTAGGAGGGTTTACCTTACATCATCTCCATAGATATTGTTCCCTAAAGTGGGATGACAACAAACATTTAGTGGGTGTAAAGTTGTTCCATAAGTAGCCTAGCTCTCCATTCCTACATTACAAACAAGACCATGGGAACAAAGGGGAAAAACAAATTGTGCACTTGTGAAGCTAAAATTTGGAATTAGTTGGAATTTTGATCACCATGTAGTGGGTGCTACATGGGATCAATTCTTACATTTAATATCAAAAGCAACATGCAGGAGTCTTCTAAACATTTAATAACTAAAATAGTAATATTAACTCCGAAATAAGGGGTTGTACCACTCTGCATGAACCTGTTGTAAAGTTTACCAAATTCAAGGCCAGAACATGTATAGACACTGCACATGCTGCATGTGCTCTTGATAAATCAATGTAAGTAAATAGAGGATATGGGCAAAGCTATTGCATACTACAAAATAAAAAAGAAGCTAGTTGTGGATAATCAGAAAGAAAAATGTGAAAGAATAACGGTGGGAGTACTACAGAGTAAGCATCATAATAGCTAAACAATCAAAGAAAATTCAATAAAAGAAAACTAGGAAGAATAAAAGAAGAATGTGAGAGAAAGAATCCTTACCTACTTAAATTATCAACACAAGTTTCCGACCCTCCTAGAACTTTCACAATAAAATTGGGATGGGGTATTTTGATTGGTTCCTCATCACCACGAAGGAAAAAGGACAAATTACAGTTGATAAACAAATAGCATAAGTCTTTCATCCCCCGATTATGATTTGCCTATAAGTAGGCTAAATCTGATAAGTTTGAACTGGTACATTGTCAAGAATCATAAGGTTCTGCACTCTGACAAAGAAGTTGAATGTACTCCCATATAAACAAAGCCAAAACAAGACATATCGACACTTTACAGCACACTGTAAAGAGATTATGAAGTAGCACATCACATTGACAAACCGTAGCAAACTTATCTACACAATCAACATGAAATTACAGAAATATTACACAAAATTTGACGGATAAAAAATCAATTCGTTCAAGAACAAAACCCACCAAAACCATATAACCAACAAATCCTTAAATCAAAACACAAATCGTAGTTCTAACCTTTCTGAAGATGAAAACGTAGCAGATAAAGAGAGTGGTCTGGTCTGAAACCCCAGCTGCAGCTAATAGAGTTGAACAGGAGCTGGTTTCGTCGGACAGGGGTTGAGTCGTCTGGTCTCGTCGGAGAAGACGGTGGTTGCAGGCGGAGGAGGAGGAGGAGAGATCGATCGATCCGAGACAGTGGGCTGATTGGTTGGAGGAGGGAGGACCGATCTATAAGAGAGGAGAGACCGACTGGACTGAGACCGGACTGAGAAAGGGTAAAAAAATTTTAAAACATTTACCTAGGTTTTCTTAAATGACGTTTTCAACCCCTAAATTTTTAAAAATATTATTTTAAATGACATTTTCATCCATTTGTAATTTTTTAACATTTATTACTGTCGTTTAAAAAAATTATGTTTAAAAACATCATTCTAAATGACGACTTTAAAAACGTCATTAGAAATGATGTTTTCAGAAAAAAAATTTAAACTTCAAAATGTTATCTCAAATGACGTTTTTAGGTGAAAATACGTTATTTCAAATTACGTTTTTAAAAAAAGACTGGGTTTGAGAATTAAGTTTAAAAGTGATTGATTTTGAGAATTAAGTTTAAAATTGATTGATTTTGAGAATTAAGTTTTGAGGGGGCATGAATTTGGGGAAAATCTCGTTGCCCTCCACTTGACTCTCCCTCCCTGTGGACAACTGGGCATTTTCCTTCAATTTTCACTTTGAGCTCCACCATTGCCGCCTCTCTCTCTTTCTCCCTACAATGGCTTCCCACTCCATCTTCTTCGTGTTCTTCATCCCCATCCTCCTCTCTCTCTCCACCAACTTTGAAGGTACTTACTGCACGGGATAATTCCTGTAATAGTATAAGACAGTGATCTCCAAGCTGGCAAACCTGAACAAACAAGGTCAGAAAAAAGGGGGCCAGGCGAGGGCCCGGCTAATCCCCTCCGAAGCTTAAGTCAGTATAAAGTCGAAGGGTTTTGCTTAATGGAATATTTTTTCTGATTCAAGTTTGCGTACCTTTATCCATTTTTTTGAGGAATATTTATACCTGAACTAACAATGATTGCCAAATATCTTCAGTCTCATCTAAACATCTTACATCTGACACACCATTTCTCGTGCAATGAGTGTATCTCCTCCTATTGAATGCTAGGAAAATGGGATAAATGCTCGGCCAAATGTCGAGCATTCATGCCTCCCCGAGTACCCAAATCCTCCAGATCAGCATCCGACATCAACTAAGCATTGAATACTTAGGGGGGACAGTTCCTCGGGGGAGCCGATCGCGTCATTTCGGCGCATCAGCCATTAATGCTTAGTCATCATGACAGTAGGCTTAGACTCCCAGAGGGCAGGTGCTGGCAGGCTCGCATTTATTTGCCTTGTCACTTTCACTCATTCCGCCATAAACGAGGGGTCACATCGTATTAAATACAATGTCAGCTGTCGTACCCGGTTGCTCAGTGTCACCATACCTCGACTTACTTCCTCAACGCCCTTTGGACATCCCAGCAGCTTCGTTATTCCATGTGTCGACCCGGAGGCTATAGAGCCACCTAAAGTCCCGTAAACTGCTCCCCAGCCGCCATCCTTTTCGCAGTGTAAGACAAGTGGCGTAAAGGGATTGGGGGCTCCCTTATCACGCTTTATTAATAGCGATGGTTACTTGCACGTCTGGTGCCGCCCTTTTTAAATGTTCTAATGATGACCCAACTTTTCGATTCTCGCTCCCTGTGAGGCAGTATAAATAGAAGGTTTTCATACCTTCTCAGAACTTTTGCATCCTCAACCTCTCTTCAGCAATCAGACCCAGAGTGCTCCTCTCTTCTCCTCCGAGTTTCCTTCGTCCTCCGAGCTCTCTCTTTGAAAACCACCTTCTTGTAAGTACTTCCATTTGAGTTTTTTCTCTCTTCATTTCCACTACATTTTGTCCTTTTAGCGCCCACTAATGACTAGAACTAGTAGAACCAAGGGGGATACGTCTGTTAGGACTAGGACTACCCACAAGATGAGGAGAACCCAAGTGACCGATGGGAATATTCAAGCCTTTAGGGTTAGGTACCACATCTGTGAGTCTGTCTTCGCTTTCCCCTTCAACCCCACTCACCATAGGAAGGATATGGAAAATGTGGACATGATGCCTTTCTGGACGAAGGCCATCATGGAGGGAGGGTTGAACTTCCCCTCAATCCCCTGTTGTTGGAAGTGTTGATGCAACTGAAGCTCTTTCCCCTTCAATGTGAAGTTAACTTCTTTAAGATTGTGATGGGCGTAGTCACCTTAAACGCTCGGTTGGGGACTAACTTAGGAGTAAATGAAATTTTATTCTGCTACAACCTGAGGCTAGTCGCCGGGGGGCGATATTACCTCCAGGCTCGAGACGCCTCAATGTATCTGGTAACCCACATGCCCGACTCAGATAAGGGGTATGTAGACGATCTGATCATGCTCGGCGAAAGTTGGGAGAAAAGGACCGGGTCCGAGTATGACGGATTGTACAGCCCCAAAGTGCCGAAGG